TGTATGAAAACAAAATTTATTTTGAACTAACGAGGGAACCTCTTGAGGTTATAAATCGCTTTTGAACTCGGACTATTTGTATCTTGTAGACCTCAGTGAGTAGTGAAATACCCTAAGTTGGTTCATCCCCATGGTGCTTTGTTGCTGAGATACTGAATTTTTAGTCAGTTTTTGCCTATAGAGCTTGGATTCCGAGCAAAGTCCGACTTTCGAATTTTGACTTGAAACTTGCCACACTGGCAGCCCATGGTCATAGTAGTACGATGGGAAAAAATTCGATCCTAATGAATTTTCCTGCCTTGAGATATTGAGACTCGAATATTTCACCTGAAGGTGAGGGTGAAAAATAAAATAAATTTTGTTTTCATGTTGTTACGCGTCTGAACGCGTTTTTTTCAGAAAAAAATTATCAGACGCGTCTCGGTATGGCGTGGCTAGTACTTTTTATTGAAAAAAACGCGCTTTGCTAAGAGAAATTTCAAAAACGCGTCTGAGACATTCTTGTTTTACAAAATCACATCAAACGCGTTTCTCCGAATGACAAGTTCAGACGCGTTTTTGAAATTTCTCTTGGCAAAGCGCGTTTTTTTTTAATAAAAAGTACTAGCCACGCCATACCGAGACGGGTCTGATAATTTTTTTCTGAAGAAAACGCGTTCAGACGCGTAACAACATGAAAACAAAATTTATTTTGAACTAAGTAGCAACCCAAAAAGATATGTGTACCCTGCGGTTTTCGAATATCATTAATATTGGTCATTTCACTAAAATTTTGTCCTCGATTATTCGTAACTTGTTCATCATTTTTGCTTCGTTTAATGTCCACTTGATTTAATGTTTCATTTATTGATCGCTTACGGTCAGACGCCATCAATATCTAATTGTGTTTCAATAGCGAGCGTATGTTTTCTGTGACTTTAGCATCTCTGATATTTTTTCTGTGAAATTTCAGTACGTATGCAAAATAACGTAATTTTTTAGAATAATATACGATAGAATGGTAAGTTGTAAATAGAAATACATTATTGCAGCAGATTATGGGAAGATGTTTTATTCTCTGCGATTTCTTTGTCGTTTGTCTCTATTAGACAAGTATGTGTTTTTCTTTTACTATTTTCTTTCAAGATAATTTAAATCTGGTCATACAGAAATATGAATACTCACAGTTTAACTGTTTGAAACGACAAAAAGCTATGTGGTTATATACTAGATTATTTAGCGTTCTCCTTGTTAATATCCAATAACACAAAAATATCCCTCTGTAAGTGTAAATAACCTTTATAATACATTTGTCATTTATGATATGGTAACTCTGTTCTTTCCGTTTTCCTTTTTTTTCGTTTTAGAAGAAAAGAAAGTGTGAGTCATCAAACAGAATGAAAAACAAGAATGGATAAAAACTGTCCGCTGATGTTTGTTGCATACACTATACTTTTGTAGAATCGCTTTGAAAAGTGAAAGTCATTAAGACAAGAGCTCCTCACCCGTTTTTCTTCACCAGTTTGTAGAGGACACTTCGGCGTATATCTTTCAAATTTTTTTGTCAGTTTGCTAACTTGCAGTTTTTATTTAAGTTTTTCTCCCAATTTTTAAAATTTCAATTAAAACTTGAGGTTCAGATATGAAGAGTTGATTCTAACGTAGTTCGATCGAGGGCATATAATTGTAATTTATATGGAAAATATTTTTTTCACTTCCGAATGAACTTTGAGACAGAAATTTAACTTTTACCTTTTCAAAGCTAAAAGTACTTTGAAAAAATCTTACGGTTAGTTTCGCTCGAAGCAAGCATTCAAAAGCAAACTCTGGGGACAAAATTGTTTAGGATTGAGTTGCGTAGTCCCTCATACGAGCCCTTTTAGGATTTTCTGAACTTCACAAAACGTGAATACATGGAAGCATTTCTGGTCATTTTTACTCTAAATCATATTGGGTCATTTTCTAGCAGAAACCGTTTCTCGTCCTTTCTGTCAACTTTCTCGTTTTTCCCTGACGCCGAATTTTTAATAATCTCCTCGGACAGTTGTCCACTATACGATCTCGGGACAGAAGAATCTGACTGGAAGTAGTGATTAGTAATGTCCAAAACAAATAATTTAAAATAACTAAGCACATAGAGAGTTTAAATGATAACCACATGGTTTTATGTTCAGGTTAATCCGACATAAACTTTTGTTCTTTGCATTTATTTCTCATATATCGATATACTGTTAGTATATTTTTTTTATAATCGATAATCCACGGATGTGTATCAGGTACGGATCGAAATCCTAATTCCAAAGCTTTTGTGTAAGATTCAATTGCTTTATCATAACAACCATTGGTAAGCTGAATCTGTCCTATATTATTATAGGCTACCGATAAATCCAATGGGTTGATTTCGTTTTCTTCTGAATCAAAAACTTTTTGATAATATTCTAGTGCTTTTTCATTATTGTAATTTGTTTGATACGTGTAACCCATATTAATATAAATTTTAACTTTTGATATTTGATTACTAGGCAATGATTTTAATATAAATTCATCTTTCGAACTATTTACTATATTTTTTTTACAGTTAATTGTATACTGATTTGTACGAACGATTGTTAAAACTTGTGGACTATTTGATAAAGAAAAACATTGTTCAGCTATTTTCAAATATTCTTGTGCAACTGGAATATCATCTTTTTCAAATCGAATAACAGCAAGGCTATTATAAATCATACCTTTTCTTTTGTTATCTTTATCATTCAGTGGCAATGATGGTAATTCATCCAGCATTCGTCGATAATAAATTTCCGCTTCATCATATTTACCTAGCTCAAGTAAAAATTACCTAATGTCATAAATGTACACGATGATTCATTATTTAATCGAATTTTTAATTGATTCATTAAATGAATTGATTCTAAATCATTATCACTTCCCAATTTCAATTTAATTTTCCAACGTTTATTACTATCGTCATCAGAGACAGATTCAATGCGCCAGATCGTTCCTGATGAAAATAATACTTCTAATTCGTCTTTCATCTTACTTAAGTGTGCTATATCAACAAATGGTTTTGTGCAAGTATTTATAGTACTAAGATCTAATTCAAATACAACTGATTCATAACCTGGACGTATGCAGCCTTCACCAGCAAACATGAGTGCAACAGATTCACTTCGTGTTGCTGATAAAATACCGTTCATTGATATAAGACCATTCTGATTATCAATGAGTCTCTGTAATGTATTCACAGGTAACATTCTTCCACGATAGGCTTTTTCGATCGGCTTTTTTTCAACTTTCATATATTCAATACGTAACTGTCGTTGTATGTCAGTTATCATTAGGCGAAATGGGAAAATACGTTGTATATTTTCTGTTCGAAATGCTTGATTTAAAAGACGAAAGAAACAAGTATTAAGAGTATACCAGACAATAGCTTCGTGTGACCTGTAGCATTCTTCAAATTCCTTAATCTTATCGAAATATATTTGTTTATCTATGTAGCGTGCTCGACATTCATTTACCATATCCTGTTTTGCATCATCTTTATGTTCAAGACGCGTTAAAATTTCGATCAGCATTTGAAACCAGACGAATGCAATTGAGTCTTTAGTTAAATTACGAAAAGATGTTTCTTTAAAATTTGAATTAAATAGATTTATTGATGGCAGCGTTTGTGTAAAAATTTTATCATCATAAACATCGTCATGTGCTTCCCACACCTCATAATCTTGAATATCGCTTGATACTTTAGTCAATAAGTCATTCATATTGTCAAATAGATTATGCTTGACTTTCGAATGCTGGCAATAAATTTGATAATCATTAATATTTGTTAAACAATGAATATAGACGGTGAGAAATTCTTCACGTTTAACAGCAATTCGAGTTAAACATTCAGTTAATCGGCTTGAAATAATAAATATAAATTTTGAAATTCTATTCAAGTGAATATACGATATCAGTTCAGCAGGATCATTAAACATTTTTGAATAATTAAAGATTTTATTTAGACAATTTTCCATTTGACTGATTTCTTTTGGATCAATATTATCATCATAAAACCAAATGCCAACAAAATTTTGTACTTTTTCCTCGTTTGATAATAATAAATCAGACAGATTTGATCTTGAAACACCAAGAGAAACAAGAACAAAATGCGTATAAAATCGCAAAACCTCTTTATAACTTACCTCAGTGTAACTGTTCCAAAAGAATCTTCAATTGTTAACTGATCCATTTCTCTTTGACTTGAAAACACCAGTCGTCATTGTTCGATCATAGTCTGCGCGAGACGGTTTATTGTTATTTTTGTTCGATCTATCAGAACAACTGGAAAAGAACAATCTCAAGCAGATTCGTCTGCCTTCATCGAAGGAGCACTTTTAAGCGATCTAGATGCAGAAGAAGTAATAGAAAAGCGCTCAGTTGCACGACTTTATTATAAATTTTTCAGCTGTAAGATCTAACTATAAAAGGTTCACGAGAGAACCACCCGAGGTTATAAATCGATTTCGGGTTGGGACTGTTTTTGTTAGAAAGGCGCTAACGAGTAGTGTAATACCCCAACTTGGTTCATCCCCATGATGCTTTGTTGCTAAGATACTGAATTTTTAGTCAGTTTTTGCCTATAGAACTTTGATTTCGAGCAAAATCCGACTTTCGAATTTCGAATATAGGCAAAAACTGACTAAAAGTTCAGTACCTCGGAAACAAAGCATCATGGGGATGAACCAAGTTGAGGTATTATACTACCCGTTAGGTGCTTTCTAACAAAAATAGTCCCAAGCCGGAATCGATTTATAACCTCGGGTGGTTCCCTCGTCAGCTAATAATCGTGCCGTACTTATGTTAACTAAGAAAGAGGTCTCTGAGAAATGCAACAGAAGAACATGAGAAGCTCGAAAGGTTTAACTCTTGTAACAATAAATGTTTTTCAAAAAGTTGAAATACAATAAAAGATTAAGAAAGAGAACAACATTTTATTTATAAATCAGTTATAAGAGGGGCAGATGGAAGATGAAGTTTCTCATTTATAAAAGAAAGACGTTCAGACACCCAATGGACAGTGCTGTAACACGTTAGAAAAATGTAATGTTAAGTATATTATGTTACTTGTTGCACTTGTTTGGTTAAAACTGATACCATATTATTTTCATACATTTCAATAGATTCCTCATCTGAAGTTGAATCAATAGCTGTCCGATAATATTTTAAGGCTAAATTGTATTTATTATCACGTTGATATGCAGTTGCAATATTACCATAAATAGCTGATAGATTATCCGCTTTGTCATCAGCTGATAGATATTGCATTTGTAAATTGTCATTTGCCACAGTTCGGCTAACTATGGTATTAGGGCGAGAACTGTTTAGAACATCAGTTATTGTATGTGATTGTAGCCACTGAAGTGCAAGCTGATAATTATTCATTGCTTTTTCTACATTACCTTTTATGCTTTGGATAAGAGCGAGATTATTATAAATACAGCCCAGAAGTGGTGAATCGTTGTTTGATTGCTGAATGTCAATGATCTCATCGTAATACTGTTGGGCTTGGTTATATTCTCCCAGTATCGACAACAAAGTACCAAATGTCGAAAAAGTTATTGAATTACCAATTGTAGATTCAAAATATTCTGTCAATAATTGTGATTCTTGTAATACTTTATTGTCCAGTATTAATTCTATATGCCAAATTTGATTAAAATATTGTTTTATCGTCCGAATTCGAAATATTGTTCCAATTGGTAGCATAATTATATCATTATCGTTCGAATCAATACAAGCATATTTCATATCAACATTACTTATGTCAATTTCAAATAAAACTGATTCAAGGTTGTCATCATGACGATAATTTCTAGCAATTGTATGAGCCGATTGATATGATTTGGTTGTTATTAGAAATGAATAGAACGAAAGGAGCGCGCCAATATTATCTTGCAACAGTTGCAATTCATTTGAAGTGAAAAACTGAGTTCGATACGTATAGAACCGTGAAGATGAGTCTACTAATTGTTGACTGACATGACAGATTAATCGTTGATTTGTTAATAATTTATTAATGTTTCTTGACTTATAAGCATTATTCAATGTCTCATGTATCAAATATAAATTTTTTGGTGCAAATAAATTGTCCTGTATCAGTTCGATATTTTGATCATTCATTTCTAATTTTTGTGTCAGTATAATTTTTGTTAAAAAGTAGTAATATATATATTCTTTTTGTTCTTTAGTAGTATCATTAGAGACATACTTTTGATAAATAGCCATCAGTGGCATAGTCACAGCGGTACTGATGGAAAATTCACGTGTATCAGTCACTATTTTCTGTCTGAATATTGCATCCGCGTGTACCATCACATTAGGATACGGTTCGATGTCCTTGTTCAATGCAGTAATTAGATCGTCTTTTATGATGAATAAACTACGAATTTTTCGATAACTTTTCATCCATTTTTGGTTTTTCTCGAACTTATCCTGATAATCTTGATAGATGTAAATAAATTGTATGTGCTGTTGTTCGTGTATAAGCGGAATAACGTATTCACTAAAGTTCAGTGTAATCATTAAGCACACCTTTTTATTGTTGATCAAGTTAATTTGTGCGATACATTTACATTCATCGTCGTCATCGATATAAATAACATCAGGTAACGTTGAAATAGTTGACAAACTGACATGAACTCCGTAGCAAACTATAGAATAATCATTGTTAATTTTTCGACCGAGTTGATCTTCGTCTTTAATAACTCCCTGCGGTAATTTCAATGCAAGGGTGTCATAAAACGTTCGAGGTAAATCAAGCTCATATTCATATTCTTCTAACTCTATTTCAACTAAAACGGATGAATTAGTCGATGAATCATGCCGTTTCACATTAGTAACGTTAAATGCTGCAAATGGCGTAATTAATACTTCTTGCTCATCTAAACTAATCCACATTGAATCAATGTCGACAGCCGTGCGGGTATTTTTGATCTTGTATTGACAAACTACTGGTATTTGAATGTGTGTTCTATCGGATGTCTTCCAAAAACTATTTTGTTGTCCTTCCCCAGCAAAGAACTCTGCAACTGGTATTCTTTTTGATGTAGATAGAAACGTTAGATTCATTATTTGACTACCAGTTTGATACTTTGCAAGATCGTTTTCAGTCATTAACATTCTTCGATATGTTGTTCCGATGAAATGATGATTGATAAAATCTGGATGATGTATGAGTAGAGCTACAATGTTTTTTAGACAACTGATGAGTCGATAATTAGGTCTAAAGTTAATCTTCTCATCGAAATAATCCATCCAGTACTTTGCTAAATGTTTATTAAGAATGTTATAAAAGTTTGCTGTTGATGATGTATAAGCTTTAATAAGATAGTGAATAATATCTCGTTGGTGAAGTGCTTCTGTAAAGTTATATTCAATCTCTTTTATCTCTGTATCAAGCAAGCCTTCGCTTTGTACCAGATAATCTTTAATATAATAACTGATGATTTCAACTAATAGTTCTCGTGTTGCTAAATAGTCATATCTTTTCAACGAATCCGTACCGTTTCTGAAGTGATTACATTCTTTTACTAAGTCAGAATCTGCAGTTACCCATTCAATAACAGCATCATCTAGATTTCCCATAAATGAATGCCTAGTATTTATTCGTCGGAAAAGATCTCGCGTCTCTTCAGTTCGAGCTTCCTCAATTGGTGTTAAACCGTAGTTATTTGTTGTTGAACGGAATGCATTGTTTTTCAATAATAATTTTACAATCTCATTATGTCCTTTGCGCGCAGCAATATGTAGGGCAGTACTTCCACTTGGATGCAATTTTTTATTAATTATATCATTAATATTTGCTGATTCAATATAACGCATCACTTGTTCAATATTATTGCTTTCGCAAGCATGATACAAATCAGCAGATGTCAATTCCTCTGAATCCACGTGAACTGATTCAATCTCCATAGCTTCCATCGCCTAAAATACAAAGTTTGTTGTAAAAGATAAATTGATTTCTCAAAGAAAACGCCACTATCCACCGAAAGAGATGAATTTATTTTAGAAATCAGTCCGGTTCATCTCAAAATTTCTTCTCAGTGTATATCAAACCAATGCATTATTTGTACTTCTGGATACTTTTTGGTTAAAGAAATAGAAATATTAAATATAAAAGTAGTAAATAAAATTACATGTGTCGATTGGTGGGGTGATATGGACGTTGGCTGTGAGTATTTATACAGCAAGTTTGTTTACAAAAGTAGAGTATGGCGAGCTGCATCGGATGGCGCAAGTACGAAGTTTCTAGCTGTTACACTTTTTGAGAAAAGCTCAAATTACTGTGTCAAAATGTCATAGC